CCATCGTCTATAATGAGCCAGTCGAAAGAACAGCTTTCCACGACGATCTCCAACAGGTCAAAGGTGATTATCTTGTTGTGCCCATCACCCACAAAGATGTACATGCAGTTTAGGTTGTTCATGTAGTTGCCGGGGTAGCCCGGACTAGTAATCTCACCCTCACTGGCAGTCAACGTCGTCGTGCAGTTGTCTGGCAATGAGAGATAGAAGGACAATGAGAGAGAGAGAGAGAGAGAGAGAGAGAGAGAGAGAGAGAGAGAGAGAGAGAGAGAAGAGACAAGAGAGAGAGAGAGAGAGAGAGAGAGAGAGAGAGAGAGAGAGAGAGAGAGAGAGAGAGAGAGAGAGACCGTCCTGAACCGTTTAAGTTCTTTAATGTACACAGAAAACAGCACAGGGCTGAGGACACAACTTTGGCGAACTCCACATGAGCTGTCAAAATATTCAGTTAATTTTCTACCAAAATCATAAGATACAGTGGCTTTAAAGGGTAAGTGTACACGATAAAATTACACTTATTCTTATGTGAAACAAAGTGAAATATTTTAATATCATTGTTTGACATTATACACTAATTTTTCTTACAATGGAAGTATAACCCTCAAAATATGTGCTGAAATGGTATGCCATTATGTGACCCTTGTTTTCCGAGCTAAACAGTCCCTTTGATTATGACGTAATTGGTGCCACTTGATTTTAGACTGGTCTCCTGTCTAGTCCCAAATCAATAGATAATAAGACTGAAATTAATCACGTGAGAAAAGTTTGTGAGAGAATCATAAAAACTGAAAATGTAAGCAGCAGGACAGATTGATCGTGTGTGTTTTCATTCATAACATTAATGAAAAGACCAAATATGTGTAACAATGTTGACGTACGTATGACATCACTCTCAAAATGGCGTGTTCACTGTCACGAGTACGACGGACTTTGGACGGAAATTTGTTTTGTTTCAAGCAACGTATATACATAAATGTGACAATGAAAATAGTCGGGAACATCCTGACAATCTGCTGGTTGTTATTTTCTTTTTGTTTTCATTGTGACCAAGGGAAATAGTCAGAAATGAGGGGAACGTCCATGGTCGGTGTGCTTGAATTTGCTTCAGTCATGGCGTCAAGCTTTCAGAAACTATAATTATGTTGTGACGAATCTCGGAAATCATTGGAAGAGGCTACTCCTATTTTATTTAACTATCGCTTGCTACGATACCTTTCCCATGCATGGTCTCAAACTAATGAGCAAGTAGATGCAACAAAAGTAGGCGAACAGATACACAGAGTGAAATCTGAGATTGACTTTGTTTACATTTCAAACAAGTGGTCCTTTCTCAGCGCGGCATCTCATATATTTCGTTAAGAGTTCACTGAAACACTTGGTATTGGTGACAAAGACCATTTTTCATTTTATTTTAAACTGTATGAGGAATTCAGGCATTCGTGTTAGTTTGTAAGTGTGACGAGATTTTATAACCACTCTGAAAATTCACTCTGACACTGTGCGTATTTTCCAAAATATTCTCAGTGAGTGAGTTAAAAGTTTACATCGCATCGGCAATATTACAGCCATATAGCGATCAAAACAAGGTAATCAATTTTAAAATAGCTGTCGACAAAGGACAGTAACACTAACTAGACTATCACAGATATGTATTTAAAACTAGTAATTAAATCTAAAATACTATTACGAGAGAGTACGATATAAATATATAATAAATAAATATATAGATCGCCAACAACTGAAAGTAGATCACCATATATACTAGGGACCATGGGGACTTACAGTGCCTTTGCTACCTGCATGGACCCTAGTTGGACTTACACCATCCCTTCAGCTGCTGGCGATGGTAAGAAAAGTTAGTCGAATTTTAAAATAACAAAAATACTACGTTTAAAGATCTGGTAAGCGTAAATTTAACTTTGAAAGTTTTGGGACTTACGTACCCTCTCAGGAGGACAATAATTTTACAATGCATTAACCCCCTTTGCGTGTACAGCCACTAACAATCGCAGTTGCTAATTTATACTACCATGTTTAAAATACCACTTATCTGTTCACAAAACATATTATTCAAAATGTATCTAATAATTATATTTCCTTTAAAAAATTCAATTATTAAATGATAATTAACATTACTTAAAAGATCCTTCAATGTTTCGACATTGAAATATTTATTCCTTGTGATCAAAATATTCTTATCGATTATCGGTACAATGTTTCAGAATGAGCATTGGTGGTACAATCAAACGACAACAACAAAAATACCAATGATACGTTTTTTCTTTTTTTTCTTTTAATTTAAATTCTCCCAGCAAAATTTGATGTTTGAATTAAGACATACTATAAATTACGCAAAACACAGTGAAGAGGGATTTCGTAATGTGTCAAAACTGGCCAGATTTACGATGCATGTAAGTTTCAGTATATTGGCCTTACAATGAGCGGATGATGTCATAGAAAATCGAATTTCAAACAGAATTAAAAACTGCCAATTGCATTTATCTTCGTGATGTATTTGGATATGGTATCGATAGGTGGGAAGAGTGGAAGAGGTGGGGCATATATTGTACGATTATGTAGGAATTAAGTAACAAACGTAGAATGCAGACACATTCACCGATGTCAAGCTAGATGTTGTGCATAAACGTTCTATTTTTTGTGAAAAACGATACGGACGAAAGAGGACCGACACAGGTTGAATGTTGTACAAGTTGGTATACGTGGTAACACTGTTTGTACAATGTATACGTTTTTTTTCAAACTGCAACGTCATCACAGTGTGGAACTGACCTTATAACCAGCTGACGACCAGGCAACAACTGGATTAAAACAGTAGCCTGCGCATCGAGACACTAGAACCACTCCTATACCTGCACCACGTGAAATGGGTCTAACAACGTCATTCGTTTATCGGTTTGGCACCAATGACGTCATTTCCAAGGGACATGGTGTGTTTATTGTGGATATAGAACTCTCGGTTAATGTGGAAAATTTGAACCGATATAACGTTACTTTTGATATCTGTACTGTTTTGGCTATAAAAGTTCTTGACATACACTTTTTATGATGAACAAGTGCAACACAAAAAGGTTAATTTTTGTGTAAACTTGCCCTTTAACATTTGCGCACATATTTTGTATCAAAGTAAAAAATGTACCGTGGAATCCGTTTTGTAAAAGAACATATAGTAATTTTTTTACCTGTGAAAATCTATGAAAGTAACATAAAGCTTACCACCTTTAAAAGTTATAGATTTCTGAACAATAGCCTGAAGAATGAAAATACTGTCAACAGTCAAGTGATCCTTCTTAGAGCCTCCTGGTATTCACCAACTAGTTCATAAAATTCTAAATAATGTTCCCATCTTTTATTTAAAGCTGTGGAAAAAAGTTTGCTTATCACATTTAATAAGGAAATTCCTCTAAAATTATTTGTATTACACTTACTGCCTTTCTTATGTAGTGGCATAATGATACCAGTAGACCAAGATGTAGGGTAATATCCAGTGTGTAATACCTTATTAAAGAGTATAACTAAATATGGCACAAGGACACCTTCAGCAGTTCTAAAACAAACTGCTGGGGTACCATCATCACCCGGAGATTTGTTACATTTCAAATTTCTTATGGCATGAATAACATCCTGCTGGTCAAAGTCTATTGAGAGAATATCATCTTCAACACAACATTCTGCTCGTTCAAGTCTATTGAGAGAATATCATCTTCAACACCACATTCTGCTCGTTAAAGTCTATTGAGAGAATATCATCTTCAACACAACATTCTGCTCGTCAAAGTCTATTGAGAGAATATCATCTTCAACACAACATTCTGCTCGTTAAAATCTATTGAGAGAATATCATCTTCAACACAACATTCTGCACATGTATTACAGTCATGATTGTGTAGATATGCTTTAGTGTCCTCTGCAATACCGCTATCATCAGGGTGTGTAGGAGGTAACACATTCTTGAAATAATCAGCCCATACTGAAGGGGAGATAACAGACTCAGATGAACGACTTGTAATATACTTTTTCACAATACGCCTAAACACTGTACAGTCACTAGAGCTTGCTGCAGCATGAATAGCTGGAGTTATTGAATGTGTATAGCGTTCTTTCTTGGCTCTACAGGTATATTTAAAGTTGTTTCTGCTGCACTTATACCGGTTATAGTTCTCTTTAGTCTTCTAAATATATATAAACGTCTGTAGTTTTCTCTCTTGAGAATACGACATTGTTTATCAAACCAGTCGGGCTGTCGTTTAACAGGGATAGATTTCGGTTGAATACATTAAATTTTTCATTTCACCTCCACAAGTTTGAAATATACACTGTAAAATGGCCAATGCTTTATCAGTATCAACATGTAACATGTCAATAAACTTATTAAATAAATCCGTTGAACTTTCACTTTTCATGTTTTCACAATACTGTTTTGACTTATCACTGTTCCGAATTACTAAATTTTCATTCCAGCGACACATGATAAATATACATCGACGATTATCTGTAAATATAATTTTACATGCAGTATTTGTACATTTCCGTTTTCTGCACATTAGGTGCCTTTCTCAGAAATTGTTGGGTCAAATCCAAGATGGGCATCACCACGATCACACCCCCTTTCCCAAAAAGTACTAGAATCTGTACTTAACTGAAAAGGTATGATCCCAAATATAACATTCGATGCGACCACTTTCTAAAAGCATTGTGCATTCACATCTTCGGCAATGGAATCTGTGCCAATTTACACTTGTCAGTTGGTACACAAAGTACGCTATCTGAACGACCGGCTGTTTTTGTGGAGGCCGCGGTTGATGTGAGGTTAGATCCCTGACTTTGTGTGCTGGCGATTAGGTGCCGTACTCTCTGGGTTCTAATCCCGGAAGTGACTCAAAACCTCAACAGGTACTAGAATCTGTACTTTACTGAGAAAGTGTAATCCAAATCTAACATATGTCATAGAAACATGTTTTTGAAACCACGTAAACAAACTCTACCTTGAACAAAGTAGTTGACAACGAAGCCAGGACAAGTGTCCACTGATCGATTTCCATTACTGGTCACAATATCTACGCTGCCCCAAAAAGGATCTGAAACAGGAAACGTTTGTTTTATTATATTTGTTTGATTAAGGCCCATACGCTTTATACACTAATGACGTTTAAATTACACAGAGGACTCCCTCTTAAGTCTGACTGACTGAGTTTGGTTTTACGCCGCTTTTAGCAATATTCCAGCATCATCACGGCGGGAACCATCTTGAGAGATATCATAACAGTTTATAACGATGTATATGTACGGTAATACAGGGTATATGCTTAGATAGTTAGTCCAGTGCGTTCGCTTGTTGGAATGTCAGTCCTGGGCCACAACACTGAAGAAAAAGAATTGCCACTATTCCTATATTTTAATTCAACTTCGTATGTCACACGAGTTCCGATTGGTCAATGCTATAAATTTCCGACATATACGGTCGCAATTTAAAAACCGATGTAGTCGTATCCCGATTAATGGTCTCAACAGTGCTGAAATGGTGTTTCTGTGCCAGTGGAAGTATGCAGCCAGCTGTTGTTGAGATACTGCTCCACGGACCATTCCAACTCATGACGTTGTGCTGTCATGAGTCGTAGCGTGGTGTGCATTTTTCTGTCCGTTTCATTTTTGCAACGATCAAACGTCAAACAAATAAACTTCCCAAATCGACAACAGTTTTTGAAATTCACGTGCTCCATGCTGTTCGCCCATGCCGAAACCACTGACGTGACACGTGTATATATGTATTCATTTCACTAATTACTGTGTCTGTATTGGTGTGTACATGTTTTGTATTTAATATGTGCATAGTTTTGGTAGTGGCAAAGTTGTCCCAAATTTGGAAAGTTATATTTAAATCTAACTAAAAAAGAATCATATTGAAAATAAAAACTGTTGGTACTTTTTACTGAGAATTTAAACCGTATAATTTTTGTCCAAATGTATATAATTTGATATGGAAACAAATGGGAGTAATAATCACTTTTTAAGATGACGTAGTTTTTTGAAAATCGAATTTAGAGACACATTGCTTTCAAATGTAGCTTTGGCAAAGAAATGTAAAACGTGAGCCCCATGTGAGAGAAGATTATCAGGCATGACTGTTTACATGAACATTCAAATGTCGGGGAACAGCCACTTATTTATAGTTCGTCTGTAAGAAAGCACTATATAGATGCACAGAGCTTACTTTAAGTAGTCACGCTACAATATTGCAAAAAACATGTGTTGGACAATTGAACACTCGACTTTTCGTTTTTTAAATACTATTTTGTTTAAAGCACTGGTATCGCAAATAACGTTACAACTGGTCAGACTTTGAAATATATTCCTTTGAACATTTACCTCTGAGAAAGAAAGGAAAATAAAAAAATGTCACAACATTAGTGTTTCAGCTTACATATTAAAGTAAAGGGTGTCGGAGTGCATATTTTTGGTCCGCCATCTATGGTTAACCACTCTGCATCACAGTTAGGGCTGGTCGTGAAGTTGAGAGAGACGATGTCCAAGGTAAGAGTTTGCTGCTTCCCGCTGCCTATGATGGTGTTGGTGCATCTGTTGTAGGTGCAGTTGCAGGAGGAGCACGGCGTCGATATCTGTCCAGATGTCGTTAGGTGGTTGGAAGTGCAGGTATCTGCAACAATGTTTCAAATGCATGCCATTCGTCAGTCATTTCGCCATCTCATCAAACAACATCGGCCGAAATTACAATGTTATAACTGTATTGACGTCAAAAGGGGAAAATAGTGAGTGAGTTAATATTTAACGTCACATCGGCAATATCTCAGCCATTTCGTGACGAAAACAATTTATATAATACAAAAATGATAACATTGTGAAGAGTTAAACCTGTCGACGATGGACAGTAAAAATACTAGAGTATCACAGATATGAACATAAAACTAGCATGTAAAACTAAAACAGTGTAATTAAAAAAGACAATACAATATAAAACACGGGCTATAGATCGCCAGCATCTGAAGGTAGATCACCACACTAGGAACCATGGGGACTTAATTTTGCTACTGCATTGAGCCTAGCTGGATTTACACAATCCCTTCAGCCGCTGGCGATTGTAGGATAATTTAGCCGAAATGTAACATAACAAAAATACCACGTTTAAAAAGGGGAAAATAAGGGACGATAGTTGAATAATACATATGTATTCTTCTTCATGTTCAATCTTTACACATGCTAAACAATCGTTTTTGCGGAAAACAATTGTTTATCATAGTGAATCAATCCAATGGCAGTGATATTGACAACCCTGCACATATTTGCACAAATCTGATTCCTCTTGAAGTTCAAAAGAGGAACTTGTCACGTCATATACATATGAGGAACTATTAACTGAAAAGACGAACTTCTAGGCTCATTTATCTTTTATTTCTAAAATGTCATTAAAATTAATTCTCATTTCAGGTTTCAACAAGTTTAACTGTTTTCACTTCCGACCAAAACAGCACTAATAGCTTGTTTTATAACCATCAATATGGGTGCAGCTATCAATGCAGGTGTTGCCAGTATGGTGTCTTCTGACACAAGTGACTTTGTTAAAGGTGTGCCTATGTTCACCAAGCAGTGAAAAAAGATGTGAGTGTTAGGGGGAACAGAGAAGACGATAACGTATTATAGGGAATGCCTATTTAAACAGTGATATATGTTTCGTAAGGCCATAGAGTACCGTTTGAGTCCACGCCGCCAACAGAATAATGCATCTTAAACCCTCTCCTGTTGCTGCTGCTATATTCATTACCAAACATTATGATGAATCTGTCTCGAATGACATCTGAAACGAAAATGTTGTCGTTGATGACATTGTATTAGCAACAGCATCGTGAGCATACATAATGTTTGTTACAGCATCGTGAGCATACATAATGTTGGTTACACCATCGTGAGCATACATAATGTTGGCAACAGCATCGTGAGCATACATATTGTTGGTAAAAATTCGAGTATCTTACTTTCGGCTGCCTGGATGTTTGCTTGAGGCAAAACGAATTGGAAGTTAAAGCTGTCTACGGCTGTCGTACACAAATACACAAATCGTTTAAACATATAACACAGACAGATCGCATAGCGATATTACTGGCACATGCCACACAGACAGACCACTCAAACAGATCATACAGAGCATATAACTATTTTCTCCTTGTATGTCTTTTCGAACAGATTGAGAGCTTACATTTTTTATGGAAAGTTGTGTGTTCGCACAGTTTGGGACCATCGTCCATAATGAGCCAGTTCGAGTGACAGTCCGAAGTTTCTTCCAGGTCCATCTCCAACATGTCAATGGAGATAATCTGTGCCTGCCCAGCACCCATGATGACGTACGTGCAGCTGAGGTAGTTGGTGTGGAGACCAGTGTATCCTGTACTGGTAATAACACCCTCACTGGCGGTCAACGTCGCCTTGCAGTTGCCTGGCAATGATAGAAAACATGAATATGACCACTTTGGGTGCAAAAACATTTTCTGCATAATCATCATAATATATGAATTGTGCTTACAACATAGTGATGACTCAAATGCACTGATACTGAATTGTGATGTTAATATCTGAGGATGTACAGATTCTTTTGATATGATACCTTTATCCCATTTTCATGTTTAAGAATGGAGCCAACGAACAAAGAACACTAGAATAAGGGGCTTACAGTCTGTATATGATATGATAGATATATCATCTTATATACATATATTTATATATTCTTATATAATGTAACATTATCTAGAGAGAGAGAGATTGGAGACCGTTCATATTGAGCTACAACATGCCAAGATCAACACAGAGAACAAACAGCTGGTATTGTACATCAAGCAGCAATGCATTACCACCTTGCAAAATGTGTGGTTTGGCTGTCATGGAAAATATTCATCACGCAAATTGCATGTTATAGGTAAACAAAGTGGCACACCTCCTGCCATCATCACCCAAAGAAGAATTACGCACATATCCGTGCAGCATCATTAGCCAACTCAATGCAGCATGATCAGCCATGTACATGTAACATAATTTTTCAAGCCAATGCCATATCATTATCGATTATCCACCAATGCAGTATCAGTAGCCAACTCAATAAAGCATCATAAGTCAGGTCCGTGCAGCAAAAATAGCATCTCCATGCAACCTCATTAGCCAAGTCAATGTTGTGTCATTGCACAGTTGGGATGCAAAATCACTAGCCAAGTCAATGCAACATCCATCACTGGACAACTCGGTGCAACATCTGTAGCCATGTCAATGCAGCAGCAATAGCTAAGTGCATGCAACAGCAAGAACCTATTCAATGCCACATCTACAGCCAAGTTAAGGTTCGATATGGTGATTTTGGAAAGAAACATAACTTGACAGCATTAAATAGACCAGTTTCTCAGAACTGGACCCGTTATAGCAAGATAACACAACAGTCATGCAACATCTTGACTAAACACAATGACCAGATTTACCACCAATAGAGCTCTTGTGCGGTCGCATTTACAGTAAAATTAGAGCTTAAACAGATCGCCTCAAACACAAGCAAGATCCTCCGCGATAAATGGACTTTAAATCCCATTTTTTCTATTATAAGACTCACATTTTCTACCTAGGGTCGTGTTAGGAGGTGGGGTGGGGGTGGCAGACAAGAGTGGCTCCACATTGGCAATTTGGAGACTCTAACATAGGTGAAACGTCCCGTCCTCTCCCACTACGAATTAAAGAACACAAATCTTCAGTCCAGAAAAAAGACTCCAAATCCGCCATAGCCGACCACACCCAAGCCAACCCTGACCATGCCATCCTTTGGGACAACATCCACATCCTGGACACCAACCGATCAGACTACAAGATTAGGAAACTTCTTTCAGCCATTAAATCCAACGCTTCAAGCCCACCATAAACCGGGATCAAGGTTATTTTATCTCCTCAGCTTATCACCACCTAATTAATGATCAAAAGTTATCCAGCGCCTTGAGCATGCACTAGTGCGTGGATATGTGCGCTATATAAATATCCTATAATGAATAATAATAATATCCACCCATACCTCGTCCAACTGGCTTCTATGCTCCCTTTTGGGTATTGTAATCACAACCAATCAATGTGTACATCAACCTACTCTCTTCAACTCACGATATCCATCTCAGTGTACGTCAACTCATCTATTGTATGAACTCATTCTGCATATTGTTTTAATCACTATCACTCTGTACATCAACCTACTCTGCTCAAATCACTAATTAGCAATCCAATGTATATCAACCTTGTCAATTGTATATACACACTATGCAACTAAGTATGTATTCTCCATGTTACAACTCTTTGTATCACTTGCTTGATAACGGTGTTAGTACCTACACCTAAACGTCGCACTCATTGCAGTAAAGAAGTTGACTATCCATAGAACTTAGATAAGTTTGTAGGAATTCATACAAAATGTCCAAAATATTATCTTCATTCCTCGCCTTATTATGTCCCCCAACTAACCTTTATACTGGCTTTGATCTTATTTCGTTTTCATTTCTTACAAGAAGTGTGTGTTTGAACAGACTCTACCTTGAAGAGCGTAGTTGACAACGAAGCCACCACAGGAGTCTCCACCGTGGGTCACAATATCAACACTGCCAAAAAATGCATCTGAAACAGGAAATGTTTGGTGAATTATATTTGCACCTTTGACTCGATTGGATAGGGTACAAAGGTCCTCTTTTGGTTTGAAAGCTGTCTAACGACGTGCTGCAGTACATGGGTACATATTCCATATATTCTCTGTGCTCCCGGGTGTCCCTTAAGATTCGTATATATTCTTTATTGTGTTTTTAATCAAATGATGAAATAATTTAAGAATGACATAATATTTGTGATCAAGGCCGTTTCGTGATTATGTGTTATTTTCGTACATATCCTACTGTAGGAACAAAAACTATGTATTTGTTTATTATGTGAGATGTTTATCATTAATAAACTATATTTACAATGCCAAGACACACTCGTGTGGTAGTCTCTACACAGCAGATAGTCAATGATCAACGATATCAGTGGATGTTCATTAGCGCGTGGAAGTATCAGTTGCATGAGACTGTTCCACCTAGCAGTACTGCTGCTATGCGACTTAGGCATGTAACAGATCCCACATGCACACTAACCTAAAGCTAACCACCTTAATGGAAATGGGGTCTTGATAAATACGTAATGGACATGCAGTCTACGTACACCTTAACACGTTCATCACGGATACGATGTTCTCCTGTCAAGTATAGAGATTATAATTTCTAGGAATAAATATATCGATTGAATTTAATTGCAGATATTTTGCCCCTTACGAGGGAAGGAAAATTGACATGGTGAGTAGAACTTGCATTTTTTCATAAATAGAATTGTATTATATTATGTTATACAAAAAGGCAATTAGTTATTCCTCATCTATGATGATATTGGAGTACACTATATGAATTCTGAAAATAGAAAGCTGATATATTCTTTTCAATAAAGTAACGTTTGATTTGCAGTTATGTTTACATAAACATTCACTCTTCTGGAAACCACCTCTTAGATGACATTATACAATAGTTTGCGAGTCAGTTAACAACACTTGGGTAGACAGTGCTTGCTGTTCATTCATCAATGTTTGGTGCAAAAGATATCGATTGTCTCAGAGAAGTCCTAAACAGGTAGTTGTCCTACTCTTTTAAACTATGTAGTTTGCCTACTGATCAATCCTCTTTGCGTATTTGAAATTTGTTATCTCAAATAACAATTAATCACACTTCCAGATGTATCGATTCGTTTAAAAAGTCACATCTGAACCTGCAGAAAAAGAGCAAAATAAGTTAAGTTTTGTCAAAAAGAATCAAATAGACAACTTCAGTGTTTCAGCTTACATTTGGTTTTGAAAGGTGTTGAAGTGCATATTTTTGGCCCGCCATCAATGGTTAACCATCCAGCATCACAGTTAGGGCTGGTCGTGAAGTTGAGAGAGACGAAGTCCAAGGATAGTGTTTGCAACTTCCCATTACCTACGATGGTGTTAGTGCAGTTTGAGGTGCATTTGTTGGTAGTCGATATCTGTCCAGATGTCATGAAGTGGGTGGAGAAACAGGTATCTGCAACATGGGGTTTAAATGGCTGCCGATCGTCTTCCACTCGCTATGTCAAAAATCAGCAATCACACGGCATTACTTGCAACTATAGTTATTCACAATATTTATATCAAAGAAGAGCGATATACTACAATAAAGACGATGACAAAAAATGAAGGATAAACAACATTCATTATATTGTTTAACGTTAATTGTGTTTTTTTAACCGTTATAGGCAGTTAACAATCGTTGGAATCGAACACAATTCCCCTCTGATGTGTTTTTCATAGCTATTATATCACAAAGCTTACTTATCAGTTCAGGTTCCAAAACCTCACTGTTTTCATTGCTAACTAAAAGTTTTCGGTTGTTTGACTGTTCTCAAAAACATTTCACGATGACGAAAAATATATGAGTGAGGTTTTTTCTTTCCTTTAAGCGTTTAGGTGAATGTCTTTTTCAAATATAATCGAATCAAATTTTACTTTAGTGTTTAGGTTTGTAAGCCAAGCTCTTTCATTTCTCTGAACCAAAATACAAAAATTATAGAGACATAAACAGAAAGATATTTCTAACACAAAGAATTGGTTTAGCCGTAATTCATTTCACGTTTAATCATTAACCTTTTCATAAGGCATAAGGCCAGCATATTTAGTAACACAATACAGCATACACAGTAAATATTCAGTTAATACAGGCATAATGTAGGTACAAATAAGCTGCCATTTGCATCCGAGCTTGTGCGCTTCATTGAAAATATACCCAGTGAAATGCTTGTAATTGTTATGGAAAATCAGAAAAGACAATCAATGATTGTTACTAATGAATAATGTCTATCAGATCCATGATATAGTATACCGTCCACGCCAATAGAATATCGCATCTTAAATCCTCTTCCGGTATTGCTTCCATCACTTATGAACGTGATGACGGATGTATTTTGAAATACATCTGAAACAAAAGCGTTTTTACGATTACCGTTGATGAAGTTGATGCTATATGCATGGTAATATCGCATATATGTCGTATCCCACCTATTTATCGCATTTATGTGTACATATTTCGGAGTTATTCTGCACTGGTAAAGGGCACAAGGTCTTGTAGGTTCAAGTACATTTGTCAGTGGCAAAACGTGAGATGCGAAAACTGCTCCTCCCTACTGTGGTAAAAAAATCGCTGTCAATTTCTTTTCGCACTCGTCATTTGAGGACTAAGATCAACCAAGCAGGTATGATTTTCATAAAAAACGGATCATGCACAAGTATGACACGAACGTAACAGACTGACTGATCACACAGACACAGATATATCATGCAGATGTGCCACATCCACAGATCATGTGCATGTGTCACACAGACGGATCACACGACCACATATATTTGTCACACAGACGGATCAAACTCATGAATTACTTGTATGGGTCATAATATAGGATCACATGGATGGACCATTTGGACGGACCAGACAAAAGGATCACAGGGACTGACAATGTATAGGTTATCAGACAGATAATACACAGATTTTAGGACTTATCATACAGACGTATCAAATGGGCGTGTCATAAAATCGACTCACGTGAATTTTACACACGTATGACAGACAGATAGGTCACAAAAGGGGATCATGCAGACCGGGCATAAAACGAATCATCCTTTTAATGAACACTCTGTGTTTGTCTTTTCAAAAAGATTCAATGCTTACAAGTCTTATGGAACGTTGTGTGGTTGCACAGTTTTGGACCACCGTCTACAATGAGCCAGTCGTAGGGACAGTTAGACCTCAGTTCAAGGTCTAGATCAACCAGGTCTATGGTGATGTTCTGTTCATATTCATCACCCGTGATGACGTAAGTGCAGTTGAGGTTGTTCGTGTAGTTGCTAGGGTAGCCAGGACTGGTTATATAACCCTCACTGGCGGTCAACGTTGTCGTACACTGATCTGACAATGGAAGAAAACAGTACCATGACCACCTGTGGCATAAGCATTTCCTGAAGGTTCTCACATAAAGAATTACCAAAATACATTAGTATCCCAACATCACATGTTAAAACAATAAGTTAATCACGAATCTGCACGAAAAGAACTCAGCGTGAAGGCACAAGAACAAATTAAGCAATGTTATACAGTTAACAACTGTATTCTAAAAGTAAATAAGTTTACCAAATATGCATTACTGTAAAGCAATTACATAAACAGTGCAACATTGTTTCAGTACAGATGTCCATGGCAGTACCAATACAATGGTAATATAACATAACAGGGGCGGATACTGCTTTTTGAAAAAGGGGGGGTGCATAGTTCCTTTTTGCCCGAGACCAAATGGCAAGCTTAGAATGTGTGTTTGGGATAAGGTGGCAAATATACACAGCCTTCCACGCCGCCTCTTGTGGCTTTGTGACCCAGTGGTTAGTTGCAGACATTAATCTGCATAAGAGTTAACTCAACTCGTAAAAACTCGGTTTTCATTTTGTTTACCTAAAATTACCTTTCAAACACACAGACACTCTTCACAGACTTGGCTGTGTTACAGTTTGTTACAGTCAGATGCATTAATTAGTTACTTGTATGTTACCTCTACACTAAGACTTGTGTCACAGAAAACTACTGATAGAGGATGCATTTCTCAAACATACGTCTTCGATGCTTTTTTCAAATATTTGTGAACTATCTCATCAGAAACTATTTTCTTGTCCTGGTTCAGGTGGATCAGTGTCAGTCCAGTCAAGCGCTCCTGACCCATGGTACTCCTCAGATGCATATTCAGCCTTTTAAGGCTGGAAAATGTCCTTTCTGCTTCAGTGCCTGTAACTGGAAGTGTAACGGCAATTGTGAGCAGCTTACGGATGTTAGGGAAAACATCCTCATCAGCAGATTTCAAGCTTTCGATTGCACCTTCAGGGTGGTATTCCTGTGACAACCAATGAAGACGCCAACTTCGGAGTTCTGCCAGAAGAGAAGACACCATTGGCAAATCATTCTCCCAGAACATTAGGTTTGCTTCCACCTGTAGTAGATCTGGTTGCTGGACAACCGCACATGGCAGACGACCAAACAGTTCAATTCTAGGACGGTTCTCTGCACTGAACCTTGTGTTCATCTCTTCTTGCAGGTGGTCAAGGAAAGGAATGATCATATTGAGCTTGAAGTGTTCTTCGGGAGATTGGGATGTTGCATTCGCTTTCTGTGTCATCCTCTTCACAATCCGAGGAAGACGTATTTCAGCATCAAGCTGTTCTGCAATAGCACAAGCTTCCACATACCAATCATGACTCCTTTGATCCACATCAGCCCTAATGGTTTTGAACATTGATACCCTTTCGTCAATAAGTTTGTAAGCCATGCAGATGTCATTGTCCCTTTTTGAAGTTTGACTGCCAGTGGTTTAACAACTTCAAGTGCATTATGGGCCACCACAAACGCCATGATGTGCTGCGAATCTCTCAGAATGGTCAAAAGCCCTTGTGCTTTTATGGTTGTCTCTTTGTCCCATGCCCAGTTCTCATCACGATAAATGTCTCCATTGTTTCGAGGATACAGGATGGCCTCAAAACATGTGCACATGTGGCTATACAACGTTTGAAAGACGTCAAAGCACACATGCCTCTCAACGCATCTAGTCTTGCAAAATCCCAAAAGACAAGTTCTTTTCGTATCAGTGCAAAACGCGTTCAGAACTCTCTCTAAAAACCTCTGGCGTTTTGGTGAATTGTCAAGAAAATAAAAACTTGGTTGATGTTGTCCATCATGTTTCGGATTGGAGGGATTTTGCATGAAGCCGCAATACTCAGATTTAGAACATGGCTGTTGCAATGTGTGTACAAAGCAGTAGGTGCCAATGTTTTTGCATGAGCCTGAACGCCAACTCGAGATGAAGACATGCAGGATGCACCATCATAGCTTTGTCCTCGACACTTGGTGATATCAATGCCTTGGTCTTTCAGTGACTATAAGATAGCCTCTGCAATTTGCTGACCTGTTGTTCTTTCTAAATGTACATAATCAAAGAAAGACTCTTTGATAGTCATTGTATTTTGATCAACATATCTCAGACAAAGACCAAGAACCTCAACATTGGAAAACGTATCTGTGACTTAATCTGCAATCACAGAAAACACAGCCCCTTCTTTTTGAAGCTGAGTGACCACCTCTGAGCGAATGTGGTCACCAACTACTTCAATGAGTTCATTTTGAACTGTTTTGCTGGCATATTGGGTGTTTCTTCTGCCAAACTCTAAATGATGACGTAGTTTGTCATCTCTATCTGCCAGAAGATTTAATATGGCCAGAAAGTTTCCCTTGTTTGGCTGTTCTGATGTCCTGTCATCTCTGTGCCCCCTCAGAGACAAACCTTGTCTGCCACAGAGTATCACCGTGTCAACTTTTTGTTTCAGAATGTGGCAGTTCAAGTCGTACATCCTCTTATTCTGTTGAGATATCCGATAAGGTAACGACTTTTCAGGTTCTTTGTAGATGCGTAGGAAGCCCAACGCCGCAAGAACAGCTTGTTTGTTAAAAAAGGTATTCTGGTGAGTCTCAAATGCACCATTTTCCCCAGTTGCTTTAGACAAATTTGTGAAAGGATACTTTACTAAAGACCCTGCGCACTTTCACTCATCACCCAGGTTCGGAAACAGAACACACATTTTACATAAGCCTCCACCTGCTGCTGGACTGTACACTAGCCAACTGTACTTATTCAACCAGCTGTGCTGGAATACAAGACGTGTTACTCGTTTCTGTTGTGGTCGAGCTCTTGTTTGCGAAACAAACCCATCATATTCTGAAGTGGGATGAAAGTGATGTTTCAGGTATTTGTACTTTTGATCTTTACTCAAAGTACTGAGGTTAAGTTTCCCTGAAACAATATCCCCAACTTCAATGCCCTCGTACCTTACAGACGTACTCTTCGTCTCAACTGGATCAATGCCAGGCACCGACATTTTCGGCTTCTTGTTAGCTGGTTCACTGCTGCTGTCCTTCATATCCCTGGTATCGGATTGTGAGAAACCAGACATTGTGAAGCCTTTTTCTGGTGCCTTTTTCCATACACTATCAGATGAGCATGTGTTACCAAGATTCACACTTTTCACTTCGGAAAACTCTGTATCTGGCAAAGCACACTTACATTCCATCTCTCCAGTTTCAATACAGGCTACAACATGGTTAGGTTTCCATTCCGCTGTGTCTGTGCTGGTCATGTGGGTCCACATGATACAGATAGGTGGGGTCTTTATTTCCCCAACGCGTGGTGTGATGGTTTGGTGCATGACCTGTCGATCAATTGCTACACTCCGAATATTGGGATAAACCGATATGACCTTGCGCTGAAAAGCATTGTTTGCCGCGTATATGTGTATAAGAGAGGAATACCGTCCATTGTTTACAGTGTTAGGTACCTCTTTCCGAAAGGTTTGTTGCATAGATGAAGTCACAAGTGATTCATCAGCTGCTGAGGTAACAACGACATACTGTAACAAGTTCTGCTTTTCCTTGGCTTTCCCACCTGACATAGAAGCAAGTGATGACTGGTTGATGTCACGCTTCTCGTTCACGACAAGTTCATTTATGATACGCACCCCGCATTCCAGATGGTGAGTTTCATGACCCAAAAGGTGTTGGGAGAAGGCTCGAAGGAGACAATTTCCATCACCAATGCATGCAACTGGATGTCGAGATGTCGGAGCATCAGCTGGATAAAGACCGACAGCCACGGAATCGCAAGCAAACTTTACACACTTTGGTACTTGGTCAGGTAAATTGAACTGTTTGATACTCTGCGACCTTTAGAGAAAACTGAAACCTCAAACATTCCCAGCCTTGTTTGGCTGCACTAACTAGTGCTGAATGCAGCCGCTGGTAATGTACCACACGCTTCTGGTCGTCCATAATGAAATGTTTTCTACATGTTACAATCTTACTTAGTCAACAAGATAAATTTAAAACCAACAGGTACACAAAAAGTATTGCAAATCGGAAAAAAAACTATGGACTGAACACAATAGCACATTGACCATCTGTAAGCTGAAACTAAATTTATATGAAACAAAATGACAACTATGAAAGCGAACTATGAAGCCCTATTTTGGCAACGTAACTAGAAAATGGAAAATGAAATCTAATCCAAAAATGATTGATTTATCATGAAATTATGAACTAGCAACACTGGGATGAGAAATCCTAGAAACAATTGTCAAAGGTCTATACTGCTCGAGAACCGAGATGAAAGACCAGTTATAAAGAATGCAGCCAGTTATTACTATTCGCAGCAGCGATGTGATGGTGCGTCTGGTCAGAACGAAAGGCGAGCGAGAAGTGACAATGCCTGCTTTTGACTGTGAACCTTTTGGTGCATGCACAACACCTGGACATGGACCAAGTCACACCAAGCGATGTTATAGACTGTTGTATTCAGAAATAACAGTTAACTGTTGAGATGGATTGGCGGTTTTTAAGACTTTCTTTTCATAATCATCTTAGTGTGAGATATCGATCATAGGTCCACCACAAACTTTGGAAAGGGCTGGGGATGCCCCCCCGTTTTCACGAGAGTTTCAATGGTCATTTAATAACTTTCAGGACAAAAAGGGGGCGCGCACCCTGCACACAACCACCCCCCACCCCCATTGGATCCGCCTATGCATAACAGCAGTGATTATCCCAATAGTGACAGCCACAAATGGGAATATAAGGTGAAAAGTCATATTCTCACTGCTGGTCACTGCGATTTTAATGTGAAATATGATATACATATATATAGGTTGGCCTCGCCATATACAGATAACTAAACGAGTGTCTTTAATTATATAAGATACCATTTATCTTACAACTAGTTGTTTCATAACGTATTTCACGAGGGAAAGCGAGTTAGATACGTTTAGAAAGTAAGAGTTGTACGATGAATGGCATCTGACGGACACGAATACAGTAACCTGTTTCTTAAACACCATTCAATGGTCGAATAGATTCAGATTTCATATTTTCTCATCATAGTTGCACAATAATACGCAATACAACGTTTATGAATGAGTGACGTCACTTGGCTTCCTAAACACTACTCATCCCAAAGGTGATAAGATAGATAAGATCACAGAAACTAAACACTCTAAAACGATGAGGTTGCCATGTAAATTTAGATGCTTTTACATTGTGCAAGCATAAAATAATTGAGCGTGTGACGTCATCGTTATCGTTTGGTGGTTGTCGTCGTCATCGGAAGATTGTTTGGATATCTCTGCATATTTGTGTATCAGTTTACGTTCAAGGTTCTCCAACTCCCCAAACCTGAACCAAAGCTATTGAGTGTGTGTAATTAAAGCTTTGATGCAACCAGAAAAATAAACATAATTAAAACACAATTATCATTTATTCATGACATATAATATACACTGCTGATGATGAAAAAAAAAATAAACAAAATTACAAACGTACAATCGCAAATGAAAAGTGCATTTTTTTTGTACTTGGGGTTACTTCCCTAGAAACGAAGCACCCGGGATACCGAACCCAGTCAGAGCGGGTGGGCGTGCACTTAAGTGTAACGAAGACTTTAATTGCCTGGTTCATTTGCCGCTACACTCAGGGCTCTTTGTGTGTGTATAGAGATGTTGGGTTTTGTAAATACATGCTCATTTTTTGTGTATAACATTTTGCAATCAACAGACATCATAACATGTCATGTGTACAAGTATCACACCTTCCAGTCGTGTATTTTCATAATGTGACAGGACAGAACTCATGTGCACGAGCCATAAATAAATGCGTTTTGTTTATGGTATATTAACCCTTGCAAAACATTCGATGTTCTACATTGTTTTAATGAGTGTGATTTGGTTCCAATTGTCATGAGTGAATTTGTTAACATTGGAATAATCATTAGTAGCTCGAAGCTGTAAGTGGATCTTTATCGAAAGAATCATCATCTTTCTCAGGAAAAAAATGTCATCTGCATCAATTCATCAAAGAAACCACAAGGCAAATCGATCTCACAATAAACAGGTATTTTTGCACTTGTCGCATCTCTCCAGTAAAAGTACCAGTAAATGTTGTACATTTTGAACATTCAAAGGGAACGCCGGTCTTTATCTCTTACGGCGATATTCACATAATTGTTTACACAGGCATCACTGATTGCTCAAGACATTTTGTATTCATGACTAGAAATTAAGGTTTTTATGAAAGGAATTAAAAATAAACAGATTCGCGTTATACTCATTTTATTACAGAAATACCTGTTTATGTTACAGTTGAGAAAATAGCAGGTAGGTGTAAAGGTGTCTGGCACGAGTAACAGGTTTCTTCTGTTCGATTGAAGCAAGAGTACCTTACCAATGAATATTAATCAGGAAAGTAGTCCATCATAATCTGATCCCCAGTCATCACCATCGAATAGCCAATCATGGGCTTCTATCTCACACATGTGTTTGATACCAGTTTTTGTCACATGAGTTACTCACCCACAGCTGTGTAAGAAAGTCAAAGTACCATCTGGCATATCCAATCCCATTATTGATAAGCTTAGCTGATCTAGAAGCCTCAAGATTGTAAAAAAGAACTACTCAAAGTAAGTTACAAGGGCTAGGATTGTAATGCAAGTTCGAGACAAGCTCCAGAATTCAAGACAAACTTCGGGCCGAGTATAAATCTCATTTAAAGAAAATCTGGAGCTCAGAGGTAGATGCTCGGAACAAGGCCAAAGCCAGCAATACTTTTGCTGTGCCAGTCTCTTTTGCTATTCCTTTGGAGTAGTGGATTGGACAAAACCAGACACCTAGTGTCTTGACCGCCTGGCCAGAAGATCATGTCTGATAACAGAACCCACAACCATCGTTCCTCTCTTAATCGTTAATATATGACAATCAATTCGGGAGGTCGGGGTTGGAATAATGTGGATTCATGATAGAATTGTATTGTGCACATATTTATTTATCGGATGATCCTCTGGTGATGCATGTCAAGACTCACGATGAAAGCAAGAAATTCCACAGCTACTTTAAGCGTGCCAAGGTTCTGAAATTTGAGGTTGATTTTGTTGATGGTGATGTACTGCTGGATGGTTCAGCGATAGGAGTAAACCAGGTGAAGTTATACACCGAGTCTGCCCAGAGAAACCATTGCATCGTGTGTACATGCAGTGTGTGGAACAGAACAGTAATCCAACCGACTCCTTCGCCTGGATGAAGTCGGCTGTTCTTAAACGTGAAACTGAGGGCTTCCTTTTTGCAGCTCAGGACCAGTCACTTCACACTCGCAATCGCCAAAATGTGATTCTTCAGAAAATATCTATATGAAACGTCGACTTTGATATGAACTTACAGAGGCTGTCCAACACCTTGTCAGAGGATTCCCTTGGCACAAACAGCATATCTTAAGAGACATGATGGCATGGCTCGCTGCTTCTACTGTCATCTTCGACATGCCCGCGGCTTTGATAGGAGAGCAAAGATTTTATGAAATGCGGCCAAATTATGGAGTTTAATGCCCCCATCTCTTGTATGGACATATTATGGCTCATTGGAAAGCTTATTGTACCTACTTTGACATAGGCTATGATGTGGTGGCCACATATGGTCCAGTTTTAAAAAAATCATGTCACGTGACCCACCAAGGCCAAAAAATATATAATTACGACGGTTAATTTAGATATATAAATCCTTCATTTTTTTGGGTTTCCATCACTAATAGTATTAAGGCATATTCTGAATTGTTTTTATTCAATGACCAAAAGGCAATAACCCTGAACACGTCCAGGGCGTCATGGAAAATGATGCTATTAAACTTCTTTGGAATAGGCCCATATACAGCCTCAGAAGAATTCCTGCCAACAAACCGGATCTTGTCCTTCTTGATAAAGCCAATGAATATATATATATATATATCATCGAATTTTCGGTCCCTTTTGACAGCAACATGATTGACAAGATTCAGGAAAAGCATGCTAAATATACGGACCTGGCCATTGAAATGTCTCTCTTGCATCCCAAGTACACTGTCGTCAGGCTCCCCATTGTACCGATGTTTTGGTACCATGTAACACATGACAGTGTAATAAACTAATAAACTATTGTTCTCGGTGCCCTTGGTTTGGTACCTCCTGATCTCTTGGCGCAGATCAGGAGAGTGCCAAGGTTCTTCATCGGGAGCACAGCCCTTCTGACACACTGGGTAATGCAGAAGGCTGCAGCAATGGGGAGGCTACATATTCTCCGGAAAGTTCTTGGTGGGTTCGACTAGGCAGCGTTTCAGCAATAATGTTGTTCAGGTTCTAATAATATGCAAATCACATCCTGCCAAGACAAAGACAAAGACTTTAGTAATTGTTCGTCATTTTATGGTAGAGAGGGCAGCGGGTTGTGATCAGTGTGTACGTGAATAGGAAATAAAGGAGACCTCAAGTACACTTTGAATTGTTGCAAAGCAGATGCCTCGTTTAAATGGTGGAATACTTTCTCTGATGTTTGTCAAATTCTCTTGAATAATAACAAACAGGATGATCAAAGCCTGATGCATCTTCTTACAAACAGGAAAATTCCAGCAGGTCAGGTCAAAAACGGCTTGAAAATATTATTGTCTCACTGCTGGAACTGACATAGTAACCAGCATTCAACTGGCTTTCCTATGAAAAACAAAGAATCTAATACATTTCCAATATATGATAAATACAATAAAGAATATTGCGATGAATATAGACTCTTATCCCTGTAATCTGGTTTGATGAACTACTCACGTGTTATGTGAGTTGGCCACGCCCACCGAAGCGGGCTAATTTCCCCACTAAGGGGTGTCTCAAATACAGTCGTGGGAATTTACTGTCTGCTTACTTGTACCATCATGCACGCGACGATTTTTGCAGACTGCTGACAGGCGATTTGGCCTATGCCGTAGCCTTTTTTCCCACGAATCACCAGCACCATTACAAGACAATGGAACAAGCACCAGATGCAGAGGACAACACGTGACCCACCTAGATCAGGTCGACGACGTGTCATGGATTTATACGGGTTCATCACTTGATAGACTTACCATAGGCGGAGTGGGGGTGCAGGGGTGCGCTCCCCCACTTTTGGGCTAAATGACCATTGAAACTCTCGTGAAAACAGGTGAAAATGAACTGTGCATCCCCTTTCTAAAAAGAAACCTGTAGCCGCCCCTGCTAACCACGGCGACCTACAGCCGTAGCAATACCGTCTACGCCCCGGGGATATTAGTCTGAGACGACCAATTCGAGGCGTCATTCTGACTTATCAGTATCTTTGCTTCTTCAGGACGTGGACAGGTTTGTTGGTGGTACTGTAATGTGGAGCGGTAGAATAGACTTGGTACACGTCAAGGGCAATTTGACGGCACAACGTTACACAGATGATTTTTCTGCCACATGACCTGCCCAAACACGCTGTTTTGCAACATGACAACGCCCGGCCTCATGCGGAAAGACTATCAAAAGTCTTTTCGAGATGATGCTCTTGATCAACGTCTGCGATCGTGTAAGGAACAGCCACAGAACCGTCAACAGTTGGCATGCTTGCCACAAAAGGCGACTATGCTTGTCGTAAGTGGTGACTAACGGGATCGGGTGGTCAGGCTCGCTGACTTGGTTGACACAAGTCATCGGTTCCCAATTGCGCAGACCGATGCTCATGCTGTTGATCACTGGATTGTCTGATCCAGACTCGATTATTTACAGACCGCCGCGATATAGTTGGAATATTGCTGAGTGCGACGTAAAACTAAACTCACTCACTCACTCAACAGTTGGCGCAATCACTTCAGGAAGATTGGCTGAACATTCCCCCGGTACAATTGGTAGTCCGAATAGAATCAACGACATTTTTTCATCAGATGCTTTTGTAATTAGTTTTTGTAATTACCTTAACAATTAAAATTGGATGCACCTACCTGTTGAGTCTGATAGACATGCGCCATACAGCGAAGTCATCAAGAAACAAATCCACGTTGCTGTAGTTTTCTGGAGCAAAAATAAATATGATCATTGAGTACTTCTTGTTTTCACGATTTGAGGACGTGCGTGCACCCATTATATCAAGGCGGTACAAAAGTTCCTGTACTACTATGCTCCTGTTAAGAGATTCACAAACTTACACTTGGACTTTGTTCTATGCATCTGCCGTATTGTCCACGTCCATATGTGTACCACATGTAATATTGGGGATTACACTTTCTCAATAAAGTAGAGATTTCATTACGCTTGTTGGGTTGGCTCACAACAGGGACCTAATCACCAGCGCACTAACTCAGCCATCTTACTCACTCACCTTCCGCGGTTTCCGCAAAAATGGAAATCAGACAACTAGAAATCTCGATCGCGAACTTTTGTGTACCTCTGTATCCCTTCATTCTATCTATTATTAGAACTAGCATTTATGTCTAAACTATAAGCTGATATATCGCAATTCTATTCAGCAGTAAATAATTCCTTACATGTAATTTTCAATGAATTTACGATCTATCTATCTATCTAGTTAGTGGGTGTGTACACACATATCGCAAATTGCGTTTAGAAGTGCAAACAAGTGTGTGAAAATAATCGCCTTACATTTTTTTAATTTATAAAAATTGTTCGATAAGAATTAGTTTTACATGGTCATCAGCAGGTTTACTCACCCATGAATATCGATGAACAGCCATGGATCCCATCATTGACCTGTAACAAGCACCGGAAGTGAGTTATTATATCAAATAATGTATTTTGACTAATAATTGTAATGATGAACATTTATATAGCGCTATATCCAACCACTAAGTGGATGCTCAAACCGCTACAAATTACATATAGCCCTTGATCCCAACCAAATATTGGTACCACTTGCAAAGTCTCACCTGTATAGAAATATAGTTCTAACCCCTGGCAACATGTTTTCATGTCATAGCAATGTAGATTTCACAGCTTTTAGTTTTTACAGCACTTTGAAGCATAACCTCTGAAGTTCATAGACGACGTCACGATATGTAACCAGTAGCAGGATAGTAGTATTTCCATGTGCTATTTTTAGCGCTCCATGCTATGGCTGTAGATATGTCAGTGTGACAGCTCCATAGATTGTGGGAGAACATAATGTCCAAGTTTCATTTTCATGGACTTTATCTTCATAGAATCCATGTCTACACTCGGTAAGTACCTTCCTCTTTAACATATATCCTTTTTCCATTCATAAATGTTTAAAAAAATGTAATTTTGACAGAATGAATTGTAATGCCAGAGTACATGTGGAAACTATGTCCAAAATATGGAAAATATGTAGCTAACAGAAGATATACAAAACTTAAATTTATTGTTTAAAAAATATAGTTATCATTCCTGCATATGATTCAGCAGGTTATATTTTTGGTTTTTAGTTTTTTTACTAGCCAGGTAGAAAAATATAATAGTCCACCAACCAAACAGAAAAAAGGCTCTACTATGTTAATAACCTGTTAGAGGCTAAACATATACATCATTCACAGATGCATATTATATTGAGTGATTTATGCTGTTAAATTTAACATTGATGAATTTCTTGGGCAAAATATGTGAAAAAATATGAAAAAAACTTCAAATGATTTTTTAAATGGTGTCTCATTGCTCATGGTACTGTTTTAGTAGCTTAATTTATAGATCACACATAAATATAATTTTTTTATGAGTGATTTATAATGTTTGCTGGAACACAAGTGTATTTTGGGGGCCAAAAACATGAAAATGAAAATGAAAGAAAAATTGAAAACGTTTTAAAACAGATTTTCAATGTCTAAAACACTTTTTCTTATTATATATCTTAGAATTTAGTTCTTTTCTACATTCTTGAGCATAGAAGTTTTATTAACAATAATAATATTCTACAAAATATTTTTATTTTATTTTCCTCATTGACTCAAACAGTGAAAAGTTTTCAGTTAAAATATTATTTTCTAGTGTCTTTCTGAGTAGAATCAACAATTCACCATGTTCACAGTTGATAGTGATGGAAATAGTTATATCATGCATTAAAAATGTACACTTATATTATTGTGCATTGACTGTAAACATTAATCTTTGACAGCCATATTGTCAACAAAGGTTACCAGGGGTGATAACTTTAATCAGTAGTACTTACTTACAACTGATTACACTTCTCACTTTGCTTTGAGGACTTCACACACATAATAACTTATATTGGGGACCAATATTTTCTGTTTTCCTCACCTGGCTGATGGATTATAAACAAACACATGAGAAACAGTATTTTCCAAAGGTTATATAATAGGGGTAAATACCTCTGTTGAACATAACTTCGTCTTCTTTTGTGTGACATTTTATCAGATGTTATGTAATATTTGAGGGATTTGATTGTGTTATTGGTCATGTTAACATTTTTTTGAAAACAAATTACTGTGATTTAATAAATCTCGATTACATGTAGAATTCACAATAATTGCTGCTTGTGTTCTATACCTATGTTTTTGCTGAATATATATAGGAAATGGAATATACAAATTTTGGAGGGAATTTACTAAAGGATTACATTATTACTATTATTATGCATTCTAATTTGTTATACCAGTTCAAAAATGAAAGTAACCTGAGGGCAATGAAATATTGTAGTCCTTTAAATCAAAATTTTGGAGGAAATTAGTACAACACAGCATTTTAAATTTTTAGCTTCTTATACCAGCAATATAATAACACACGATTGCTCAAGATTATATTTCTATTGCAGGTTACGTAAAACCATCATAATCAACTATGGCAGACATTTGTAATTCTCAATCATCAGTGAAAAACAAAAGTATACTTGTATAATATGTGAAAAGGCATCTGATGATTTAAGTACACTTTCCAACATATCATCTTGGAAAACACAGCTGAGGGCCGCAAGGCTTCGTCATAATGAAACCATTTTGGAAATTGGAAAACAAACTGATGATGATAAATTTCCATCAATTCTTTATCACAGGAATTGCCAGAGCAGGTTCACTAATGAAAGAGACCTAAAACAATTCATGACGCCTGAAGATGGGCAAGCAGCAACATAGCCCAGGGAGACATTTGTGCGTAACAGCAAGTCGTCAGCTGTATATGAAGCTCTTTGTTTATTTTGCACAAGAAATAAGTACATCAAAGGATCAAACCTAAGGGAGCCATTGGTAATATCATTACAGTTGAGAACAGATGACACACTGAGGAGAAAAGGCATTGAGAAATTGGATTCCAGAACCATAGCAGCTACAACCCAGGATATTGTTGCAGCAGAGGCGCACTACCACAGGAGTTGCTACAGATCTTATACAAAAGAGGATAATTGACTTCAACACTCAACTTCAGTCACTAAAGTCACACAAGGAGAGCAAAATTATGAAGAGGCTTTGACAGCAGCATATGATAAGCTTTTCATGTATATACGAAATGCTGTATTCCAGAATCCAACTGTATTAAAGATGTCAGAGATAACCAACAGACTGAGAAACTACATGGAGGAAAAAGGATGCCAGAATATCAAGACTTCAACAACTAAGCATCTGCACAGGAAACTCAAGTCAGAATTTGGTGACAGCCTACATATATTTCAAGATGATAATGCCAGACTTTTATTTTTTCCCAGTTCATTGGCAACTGAAGCTATTGCCATTGAAAATCAAAATATGAAAGAACTGAATGCCATAAGAGAAAACAGCAACAACAGGAAAGCCCTTCAGGAAACAGCACTACTTCTTCGAAAAGCTATAAAGAATATTGAAGAGGAGTTACCATGGCCCCCAAAACAGTGTGATTGGGACAATCCTTCTAGGTACATTCCTACATGTGTCAAGGAATTTTTGGCAACTGTTCTGACAGGTGATTTGAAAGCTGATGTCACAGACCAAAAGACCAAAATCGTTTGGTCAAGATCTTGTTTATGCTGTTACAGGAGGAAAAAAGCTGACACCTAAGCATATCCTGCTCCCATTTGCTGTGAAAACCCTAACTGGGAATGTTGAGATGATTCAAATTTTGAACAGATTAGGTCATGGAGTTTCCCATCCAAAGTATGAAGAAATTGACACTGCCGTTTGTCTCCAAACGCTAGCCTTGACTCAGGAGGGTGCTGTTCCTTTGCCACAGGATATCCACCCACATGTTGCAACAACTCTTGCCTGGGACAATATTGACCGACTTGAGGAAACACTCACTGGAGGTGGAACTTCCCATAGAGTTAATGGCATTGCAATCCAACCGTCAATTCATGGCCCACGTTCACACGACAATACAACCCCAGTGGTTCAGAAGACAAGACGCCGTACAATTGACACAGTTCTCCCAGTTCTACAGCCATAAAACAGTGGCAACCGTGTCGGCCCACCTTCTGTTCCACTTGTAAAGTCTTCCACAGTTTCTGCTGTCAGTGAGTCAATGAAGAAAAGCCTTACATGGATCATTGCAAGATTGCATAGTGCTCAGCAACAAGAAATAAGTTCCTGGACAGGTTTTAATATCCAAACACGTGATGCAGAAGATGTAAGACTGGACACCATTGGATATCTTCCAACAATCAATGCTCCTGCAACCAGCATGTCTACAGTTCATGAAATCTTACAGCAGTCTTTGACCATTATGAACACCTTGCGGCTTGAAAACATTATTGTGACATTGGATCAGGCACTTTATGCAAAATGCTGATCTCAAGGACATTTGTGTTGAAGCTGAACTACTAGCAGAGGGATCTATATCTAGAGTTTATGATGGGAAACACTACAACCGCGGAGTTAGAGTCCATATGATCATGTATGAAGCACTCATGAGACTGCACTGGAAAGGCTTTTTGCAAAGGGTCGAGGAAACAAACTGTGGCCTGCTATCTACAATTCAGTCTGCACTGGAAGATATTGAAGACGTTCATGTTAATGTTAACAAAGAAAGTTTGGAATCAATCTTTCAGAGTTCATCTTTCACAGACACTGTAACAGCTTTTAAAGCCTACCAAGAATTTCTCGGGAATGAAAATGGGGATTTGTCAGCTTTCTGGACTTCATACACAGATAGGATTGAAGTGCTCTTGGGTCTTATCCGAGCGTCAAGGGAGGGCAACTGGCAACTGCATCTATCCAGCATCAGGAACATTGCACCTTGGTGTTTTGATTATGACAAGCAGAACTATGCGGGGTACCTATCAGTCTATCGTGGTCAGATGTCAGCTCTGTCAACTACTCACACGCACATTCATGAATATTTAGAGAATGGTGGATTTTCTGTACAGCTTGGAACTGAAAACCTTTTTGGGAGAGTACCAGTAGACCAGGCTCTGGAGGAAACAGCAAACAGAGATACACAGACAGCAGGCGGAACAAAGGGCTTCAGTCTTAAACTTGGTGCTGTTGCTAAGTATTATCTGATGGCAGAATATCGCAGTATCTTCTTAGGATAGATCAGAAGTCTCACGAAGTTGACCCGATCAAGTTTCAGTCATCCAGATTTACACCAATCAAGGAGAGCAAGAGATGAGGCAGATGTTCTTGCTGTTGTAGACATGTTGGAAAACAACTGGGTAAACCCTTTCTTGAATTCAGAACTCGTCTCCTTGTCAACGGATGCTGCTGCCACTCCAGCCATGGTATCTGACCTTATCAAGGCACAAACCACTGGGGAAGAGAGGATGATGGACTTCTGTACAAACCGTTTACAGCCTTTGTCACCACAGAACTTTCATGCTC